CATCATTTTCTTTATCTGGTACACTTTTTGATGACATATATAGATGTTACTGTTTGCAGAACTATAAACATGATATCATGTTTTGTTTTAATATTGCATTTTTTATTGTGAAATGTTTTTGTATATATATGTGTATATATTTTATATATACTCATATCTATGCTTGTTATATAACAGGCAATAGTTTTAATTGTAAAATTATTGTAAAATATGTAAAATATCTTAAATCTTTTGTAATTCTACCCAAAGAAAGGCTATGTACAATGTAATGCTTGTATGTAATTTCGCACATTGTGAGACTACATTATATATACATATACATAAAAGAATTTTTGATGAATATAAAAAACTATTTTTTATTACACTTTATCATATGATAGCACAAAGCGGTATTTATTTATGATGTAAAACGACGATAAAATTAGTACATTTTAATGACATCAGTCATATAGACCCTTTCATTTAAGCGATAACAGTCCGGGAAGAGTTACTTCCCTTACCGGATGTGACGTAAATAGGGGATAAAAATATGCAGGCCGCATAGAATGTTAGCTTATTGAAAAGTTAAATGCGTAAATACTGATCGTTCAATTATGATTATAACATGTAAAAATTTACGCATGCATACATAAATTCAATATCAAGACAATAGAAACAAAATACAAAAACAAAGAGTGAGATTAATTCAGAGAAATTTCAAAGTGAATATATTTATTAGATCTACATGTTCTCTAATGCCAGGAACTAAATCAATTTTTAATATTTTATAAAGATCAACAACCATACACACTGAAATTGCCTATTATAAATTTAAATGGCCATTTTCTAGTTTTCTGTGTTATTTTCTGTCATTTAGAAAATTCCGGCGTATTTGTGGCAAATATGAAAATAAGATTGCCAATGTCTTTTAATGATTGTTTTTCAAGCTTTCATAGAACAATAACAGAATGCATTCTGTCAATACTTACTAATTCTTTTTCATTATGCCGTATAAAAAATATTTCAAAGAACCAGTGAAGGATATAATTTTATAAATATTCCGGAAAGAACGAAAACCATGTGGCATTGACTTTTATAATTTTAGATTCGCAACAGACGATAATAAGATAATTTTGATATTAAAAATCTATTCTTATGGTTATAAAAATAAAGACCTTTTCCTAGAGATAAATAGATGTGTATATATAAGCGCCACTGGGCCGTAACATATTAATTAACAGGGTGCATATGTTGTATATACAAGCGGCACTTGGCTGTGATATCATAAATCACCAGGGTGCAATTTTTAGAGTTATAACATTACATCAGATTACGTCACTTTTGTTAGTTGTCAAAATATTTAAGGTCCGAATTTTGTTATGGATCATCCGAGGGACTTGATTGGTCATGCCTTACTGATTTGATACTCGATCCAGAGTCCTACCAACTGGCACAGTCAAAAATACGTAAAATTATGATTCGTTAGTGAAAGTGTTTCACAACTTGTTTTTTGTGATTTGTTTTAAATATTTGAAAAGTAGATTATAAATTAAAAAGTATTACTTTACCAGCTTAAATATACTGGTATGATGTACGATTTTTTGAGAGTGCATTTTTTGCCGACACAAATAGTATACAGTCATGTACATTCAAAAGAATTTGTACTTTTTATTCCTTTTCATTTTTTTTTTTTGAAATTACATAGATTTATATTGTTGTTTTTCTTTGTCTTAGTAATGCTTCAATCAAAATGATTTTTAAGAAACCAGTTTTTTTGCAATTAATTATTACGCAGCCGTTTTTCGAAACTACAGAATCCTTACATTTTTGAAACTCAAAATATCTTTTGGGTATTGTATATTAGCAGAGACATAGATGCATTAACTATATCTCTGGTATAACCAAGTTAGTACGATTTAACTGCCTGGTAAAAATTTTATTATAAAGAATCTAACGAAAATGATAATCATGATCAGTTACCCAGGAATATGGTCTACTATTAAAACAAATCGTTAACCTTATTATAGTCATTTTTATTCATTTCATCATTCTTTTTATGTAACATCTTATTCAATTACACAAAATTTTGGCAATTTCAATCTGTCAATCTTACAAGAGAAAGTATTAAGATCTTTATATTCCACTATAATTGTACTTTATCGTATCGGCAATGTCCACCGTATCCCCCAATGACGTCATCCAAGGGCGACAACTTGAATACGGTCTTAAATGAAAGGGTCTATAGTGTATGCTTTCCTATTTCCATCTTCCTTTTATTCGGATAATAAATGACTGTTTAATGGTATTTCAACTTTAATTCTATTTTTATATTTCATACTTTTAATTGCAAACAAACAATATTCATGCGTATATAACCATTATGATCTAGACAAATTGTTTTGGTGAAGATTTGATAAGTAATAGAAAGAGCATCGAAACACGAGGCTATCAGATTTGTACGACGGGGCGTAGTCCCCGAGTATTAATCAGATTGCCGAGTGTTTTGATGTTCTTTCTCTTTTGTATCAAAGTCAAACATAAAAACACGTCCCCTGTTGTCACAATATGAAACCACGGGAAAAAGTAACCAATGAACGAGCATCTGAATATGATATGTCGGTCGCTTTCCCTTTCTCTTCCGTCACAATAAGTAAACCCCAGCAAAAATGAGCCAATCAATGGGCATGCTCTGGAGTGCGGGTAACTAATATCTGCACTCCAGTTAACGCACTGTGCATGTATATGTATACGATTTAACTCTGACACATTTTCAACAGAAAGGTCCCCAAACTATGATACAAGATATTGTTTTCAATTATTTGTGGTAAAACTGAAATTCTGGCAATCGTCTTCCCAATCAAAAACAGCCATCGTGTTAAAGTAGGCCCTAGCGTGCGCTTAGCAGGATTATCCATTTGTCAATCTATCATTTCTAATTCAATGGTAAACGTTTTTAATCAAAGTAAAATGAAGAACAAAAACAACTGGTCTCGTTTTAAAATAGGTTGATGCATTTGATGTAAACGTTTTAAAAACTAACTCGTTTTCCGTAGTTTATTCACCCCCACCTCTCCAAACCGCCATAACAAATCCACTGTGACGTTATTGAGTTTAAGTTTATTTCTTGAAGAAGACTGAAATAGTCAAATTTAATGTAATTATGAATAATATTCATTTATATATGAAAGGTTTGCAAGTTAAAAGCGACAACACAGCGTTCGTTTAATACGTAATTAGACTGTACGATTTATTAAATATAAGATAATAGCTTCTCTTATCCGGCGTAATAATATATGCATTGAACGTATCTTACAAATAGAACCAATGTGGTGTATAAATTGATAAAGTAATAAAGTATCACGCAAGCATTTATACGTTTACATACATATTAGTGAATGCCTAGTGAAACATATGTGAGTTTAATGCATATAATATACTACATGTATAAATGGAATATAATTAGTTAACCTAGAATGTGAAATTAGCGATACATATTGCTGTATTGTTACATTGGGTAAGTTTAATTTATCTTTATTATACTTAAAACAGAGAGCTTTAATCATATAGCCTGAATTTATATATTCTGCAGACAGGTATTGACCTCATAACTATCACGTGGTCACCTATATGATGCCTTATTTTTCAAGAAGACTCAATCTTTAGAAGTCAAGAAGACTTAAACAATAATATGTTTAAAACAATAGCAGATATTAGCCTTTAGGTTCATTACAAGAATCTTTATTTAGTTATAAAACTGAGTATATAAAAGGGGAAGTGATAATGTTAGATAAGTCAATTTTCCTTGAGATTACATCTAGACTAGTCTAGTACTGGTGTAACTCTCCAGGATCGATGGTTAGGAAACTACCCGCCTGTATGACTGAAATACTGTTGGGAAAAGGCGTAAAATGAAACAAACAAACAAACAAAAAACTAGACTATGCTGTTATATTTTCGGTTTCAAGAACAATGTCAGTAACAAATATATGAAGTGAAAATGTCACTTATAAGTAATCAAGTCTGTAAGTAAGTAATCGTGTTCTCACTTGAAACCACTTAAAATAACTCAAATAGTTCACATGTGGACTTAAACATAAAGCTATGTAATGTTTAGTTCAGAAAAAAAATACACTAAGTACTCTTGTTCTGAAGATTGAGAAGCATTACTAGGTTAAGAAAGAAATTAAAGTGGCATAGTCACGAGTGGACACATGCTGCCCATATGTATTTCCAAAATTGATAACACACAATAGAAATGTATCATTTAGATAGTCTATTAAGATATATCTTTAAAACAAAGTTGATAAAGATCTAAGCGATTTAGCATTAACATTTATGCGACGAATACTAATACATGTATTTTTTTCCTTGAACATTTTATTTTCTGCTCATTATGTAAAAATATATGTACTTTCGGGTCATATATCTTACACTTGCCAACAACATCTATATATAATTATTTCGTGGTTTCTTGTTATGTGTTCTCATACTAAATACTATCAACGCAATTATTTATTATAATACAGACCTTCCTTTATAAACCAATCCAACCTTTTTAACTAAGAATCCATACTTGAAAATTATGTAAAACAAAATGGTAAATGTAGTTGAAAAAAAAGCAGTACAAACATATCTTACCAGCAAACCAATACATACATAAAATCACTCTTACGGTGATATTTTGACATGTGAAAAAGTAGAGTATTGTATCCAACGAAGCGAATAGCAATGAATCTGTACCCATCAATTTTACTACCTGATCATAGCTGTAACATAAATTTATCTCAATTTTCAGCCAATACGTTTAAAAAGTAATTTTTGTACTACCGAACTTTAAAGTGATAGGTTTAAATGTAAGTTTGAAGTAGTTCTTTTGTTAATTTAGGGAAGTTTATTCTTCATAGTTTTGTAAAGGATTACAAAGGGTAAATTTGTTTTAAAAAATGTTGCCTTGATGAAATTGTGTATCATTTGTGATAAAATGAAAAGTCAGTGTTAAATGTTGAGGTATTATTATTTAAATGTATTTTTGTTTTGAAACAAAAGCATCGCTTGGAATATGGAATTATTAATTTGATTACTTTGCATCAAATAAAACGCATCATGTGAAAATTATCAGGTAAATAGTTTTACTCTCTTATGCTTTGAAATGTTTACCTGAACTAAATAATTTGAGAACTATTAATATATTTATTGGTTTTAAAGAAATCATATGTGTCTGCATTATCAATAATAGAAATCTTTATTATTTTTCTTAAAAAAAACCGGAGCCACTAATATTAAAATTTAGTATGATAATACATTGTAAAATAAAAAGAAACATTTTAATGCGTGCTGTATATCAACTCACTTTGTAAAATACATCAAAAAGAATAAATAGTTTTCGTCACAGTTAGTTTGATATTGGGTATGTAACCATTTCACATTTCATGTTGTTTTTTAAACATCTTATTAAAAACGTCATATTTTGTGACGCGTTTTAGATAAACATCCAAAGCAGTTTGATAAAGATAGTATGTGCTCGCCATAGTGTAAAATTACAAAGATTGAAATCTAAATCTGATTTTATTCAGTCACTGACACAAACTATTTAAGGTTAATGTAAATTCAAATATAACAAAAAAGAAAATACAGCTTCCTTTATTTCATCAAATTACACAGTAGTCTTTTATGTAGTAAAGATAGCATTTAAAAGTGAATAAATCATTAAATGCATTGATTGTCATTTTCACTGCGCGATAGAAAGCTTAAATAAATTTGCTAATGACATATGGTTGTAAGCATAAAAACATGTGCACAGGTTTTATACAATGGTCTATGTCCGATAAGTAGCGATGTCAATATTTCTCTTATTGTTGCCTTTATCTAGTTATAGATCTGACCGTTTACAAAATACAGTTTGGCTACCTCAACGATGCAATTATCACACTATATTATGGTTTGCGGCTTACTTTAATCGTAATGTGTCAATGGAATATTCATAAACGGTCAGTGTCCGTTTTAGCAAGCTGTTTTTAAGCAAGTAATTTAAATAATTTTGCTATCAACTATTATTTTCAAAGATAAGTGCATTAACATCAGATCTGACCTCCTCCACCCCTTTCCCCTAACACCAACTTTAACATAAAATATATACTCATAATAACCCTAAAGCTAAGGTGTTATTATCGTAAGTGAAATAGCATTCGTGTCATTTTTCTTGTTTTATCTTCAGTTGTATCAATTTTGTATCTATTTATTGATATTTTGCGTTATTATCTATATTGAATAAGATGAAAAGTGTAAGAATGTTTTAATGAATACGGCATTTAGTTGAGTAATATATTATATATTCATGATGAAAATACATGTACATGTATTTAGTCAATTTGCCAGAATAAAAAAGTTAAGTATCTCAGATACAATTGAGTAAAGTATTTAGATACCGTATCGCATAGATTATTTGATTATGTCTTCTACTCACCGAATTTGTTAAATAATCAGCATATTCCCAAATAATGATGCTTTTTGTTTAATTTACAAAGAAAAAATAAAAAAGGATTAAAACCGACCCTGCATGCTTACATAACACGAAGGATCACAAATAACAAATTAAAAATGTCTTATAAATATCATATTATGGTAATTTCTTTAGTGACAAAATGCCTTATATCATACATTTTGGAACAGTTACTCCGTGTTTGTAATTTAAGCAACATTTTTCTATTTTTCTCGCATCTTACACAGAATACCGTAAATTTATATTTTGGAACAGTTACTCCGTGTTTGTAATTTAAGCAGCAATTTTCTATTTTTATCGCATGTTACACAGAAAGAATGAATGTCCACCAAAATTGAACGATACAATAAAAGTCCAATAATTTAGGTTTAACTTTTTGGAAAAACTAACTAGAGATAAACTCGAACATGCATGTCACCAAAAAGATTAGAGACAACAGTGATGACATTTAAAATGATGTCAATGTCATATTTTATCTTAACAATGCATGACTTTAACTTAAGACTAGTTTAAGATTTATGTTTGAACCGATATTTAAAGTAGTGTCATAGATGAAATGACTGTGCATCTAGATATGTGACAAGAACGTAACTGTGTGACATATGTGCATTTAGTTATCTCATAAAGTAACACATGGATATAATAATTAGGTAAATATTGTCTATGATGTGGTTTGTAGTACTTATTGTTTGCACTATATTGTGATATTGAAGTAACAGGGTGTAGGTTTATTTGCAAAGTAAATAACAGTGCTCTTCTCATATTAACATATAGTCTAAGAAAACAATATGCAATACTTATCTTTTATTCGATTGTATTTACAGTACATGGAATGTATCTGACTACAAAACATTTACCACCAGCTTCTTATTACTCACGTTTATTTTTAAACTTATATTACTTTAAGAAAAGGTTACTGGTGAATAAAGTTTTTCAAATGAACTTGTTTCATAGATTTAATCTTTTAAATGACAGCTGAAAATTACTGTTTGACAATTTAATAATCTTTAAACATGTTTTACATTTAAAAACCTTATTAGAAAGACATATAATGTACAAATAAAGGTTTAACAGTACGTAACATTTTGAAATTAGATATTTTATTTGTAACATTTAAATAATACATTTATTAAGTTATCACATATGAATATTTGATATTTGCATTCCTGATAACAATTGAATTAAGTAAAGAAATAAAGTACTCTCAGGATAAAACTGTAAAATATGTAAAACACGATTGTGATTTTCAGTATAAAATATTCATACCTTTAGGGAAAGTATTAATTCAAGTAAGAATATATTTGATTTGGTTAGATAAATGAAACTGTTCTGTAATAATGTCATTAAATCTTTATCGTCTGTATGATACCGTTAAAATATGATAAACAAGATCAACAAGGAATGGCGGCGCTCAATGAAGGCAACCTCCCACACACTCACGAAGGGCCTCTTTGACTTCTGTTTGTCACCCGCCACATGAGGGTTAACGTATTCCGTTGTTTCAAATATCGTCAGGGAAATTGAGCAATTGTATGTGTTAAAGCTATCTGCTTACTTTTTGAAGGTCGTTGTCTATTATCACTCTGGTACCAACTTGGAAAAGATCATAGAAGAAAGAAATTTGCGGGCTTTTTTTATTTCGGCGTAATTAAATAATTAGAAATAGAATAACTACAATGTATGTTATTTGTGGTGTAGGTGTAATTTTAGGCAGACAACTGATGACCACATAATATAATAAATGTTTATAGAATATGTATAACGGTGATTTAGTAATTAATTTTATTATATTTTCACTTTTTGTCGTGGACGCATTATTGCTAATCAAGATTTCCAGAAATAATAATGCAAGAAAAATTTGATAAAAAAAACGATTATTCAATTATTCAAGCAAAAAATAATTCACAAATAGAATGAGATATATTTTTGTATAGAATTCAAAATCAGATTTGGCAAAAAAAATTGTATAAATAAATAGTTTCACGTACTTTTAAGATATACAAAATGTACTATTTTGCTCTAAATTTGTGCGTTTTGAGATGTCATTTCTTTCAACAGTTGAACTTAAAATTTAAGAACTGTTTTATTTTTTAATTAGTGACGTGAAAAGGTGCAATGTAATCAGTACCTTTATGTTTTCAATAATCATCTCTGTTTGGTCATAATATTTACAAAGATTTCAGCATTGATCAAAGAAATAGTTCCTTTTATTTTGTAATCATGTGTTTCAATTCAGCAGGCAGGTGCAACACAAACATGTTAAATCATTTAAATATGTTGGTAACCTTGCATTTATCTTATTTTTTTTATTGCAACATCACATCACAGTTCGTGCCGTTGTTAAGATAAACATACTACAAATAGCTATGAGTAGGGACATGCTTTTTTAAATTTAAGGTCGAATGACACTTGTTATCAAAATTCATTCTGTTATCATGCCTCTTATGGTATATGACATAGCTTTTTAATCTTGTATTTGAAAAAGTCAAGTACTTGTACCCCTTTTTTCAACACAGCTTTAGTTTAACGTACATCATTATTTGCGAACATGAATTAAACAAACAACATAACATATAGAACAGATGGATGTTTCAGTCTTCAAGTGATGATGGTTCATATATTTCAAAACGTTGTTAAACTTGAGGGGAAACTTTTAAAACCATAATGATCTCTTTCGTGATGCTAAATGTGTTATTAAAACAAACCTATAGGGCGTACAATGAATAATATTTTAAATGCTTCCTTTTTACAATATACATTGCACAGACACAATTTAAGGATCACGGACCATATCTATTATATGCGAGCCGACGTATGATTTCAAAATTAAAATTGGCCTCATATCTGAAAACAATGGCAAACTCACTAAGACTAATAGTATGCCTATAGCGTATAGCGAAAACTTTCCAAAAGAGGCAAGAGCGGTTTCGAGTTATTTACGATATAACACGATACAAGCCGACGTTTACCGATTCATTTTGATCCGTATTTCTTAAAAGTAGTGTTATCTATAAATACTTCGTTGTTATATAACTCACCACAGCTGCATATTATAAATTTAATGAGGAATGTGTTAATGTTTATAAGGAAAAAAAATAGTGTGAAAGGTGTAGGTATTATCATCCTCATAAAACAGCACTACTCATTTTTTTTTAATTTTCTTCAATTGCATCCGGGTTCTATATTTAGTAAATGTGACTAACCATTGAGTTTTAAAAAAGCTGCAGGTGATGTTTTGTACTTTCATAATCTTGTCAAGTGCGTAAATGGTTTATCCATATGATAAGTAAAAATACCTTATAATATTATCATTTAAAACTGAATAAATTTCGTTTTGCCATACAAAAATTTGGGAATAAAAGTGGTATAATTATGTTGAATACATCCGATTGTTGAATATTTACAGCTCATCAATTTTCCTATACAAAATTGCCAGGAACATTTTTTTAAAGCATCCTGTTTTATGTTATTATTAAGAATATTGTAATTTTGTTCCATTTTGTAATGTTGTCAAATGTAGAAAGAACAGTCATTTATTAAACAAGCCTGTAGCAACTTCTGTGTACAGAAAATGAAGAATTCCTAAGTTCCTTTTAAACGAGACATACATTTTTGTCAAC